AGTGTCCTGCATCAGTTTAAAAGGCTGATGCTGGGCTCTCCGATCATCCTTTCCGCTGTGCAGCCATCGAGGGATCCCAGCTGCGGCGGGACCCTCGTGGCCAACTCTGCATAAGACCCCCAAGGATACAGGGGGCCCCCACACACCAGCCTACAGAGACCCCAGCTAACGGGGGGAGACCGCACACACCAGCTGCCTGACCCCAAGTCTAGGGGGACCCGCCAGCTGCCTGAGACCCCAGTCTAGGGGGAGAGATTGCCCACCAGCTGCCTGAGACCCCAGTCTAGGGAGGAGATTGCCCACCAGCTGCCTGAGACCCCAGTCTAGGGAGGAGATTGCCCACCAGCTGCCTGAGACCCCAGTCTAGGGAGGAGATTGCCCACCAGCTGCCTGAGACCCCAGTCTAGGGGAGAAATTGCCCGCCAGCTGCCTGAGACCCCAGTCCAGGGGAGAGATTGCCTGCCAGCTGTCTGAGACCCCAGCCCAAAAGGAGAGACCACCCGCCTATTCCGGACCCCAACAGGTACCTGTGTCTTACTTTCTATCCCTGGGAGACCAGGCACCCTGTCGGAACCGTGAGTATACGCTTTCCCCTGTTTTACCCGAACTGTTCCTGTGATGACCCCCCACCCTCCCTGTTGGATTACAATCTGCTACAGAGACTTTTCCTTGGCTCTCAGTACTGGACTACACGTGTTTTAGCCCCTCCTTGCTGCCCCTTACTGTCATCTTTTTGTTTCAATAAAGCTTTGTGCGTTTGCCATCTACTCTGTGTGTTCTGTCCTGCCTACCCTCCGTCACAATAATATATTAGATTTTTGGAATTTTCAGCACGATTGCATATTGGTATAGGAGGATTACCATATTATATAAATTTTTTAATTTTTTATATATTTGTCATATGGTATTTATTTTATTTAATTTATAGTTAAATAGGTGGAGAGCGACACATATAAATTTATTTATTATGACTCTCTCGAAGCTGCACAAATGTACGCATACCCCGACCCGCGTAAAACCATGGGTTATAAACCAGCGAAAGGCCATCTTATCAGACTACCCTGGGGGAAAAAGCAGACAGTTGAATAACTGTAAAATAGGTAAATGCGGGGAAGAGTAGGCCCGCCGAATACTTACACGGTCCCAAATTTTCAAGGAATGAGCCAAGACAGGATTCAACAGTTTAGGCCGTGAGGATGGAGGAAGCCAGGGCAAGGCAGAAGACAAAAAGGGGGATGTGTGTCCAAAGTGTTTATCAAAGCCCACAAGGGCAAATCTCTAACAGAAAAAAGCTGAATAAGAGGGGTAACTTGGACTGCAATATAATCATGATGAACGTTCGGGAGACCCAAGCCACCTCGAATACATGGGCGGTAAAGGAACTGCTTAGACAAGAGGGGACGTCCCGAAGCCCATACAAACCGTAAGATTTGACATGGTAAAATACAGAGTATACTGTATGTGGTGGAATCTGAACAGGGAGCACTCGAAAAAGATAAAGTAGTTTGGGATCTCTTCTTGGCCTAAGAAGAGATTCCCAAAGGAGTCTCCCGAAGGAACGTATCAATAACATCTGTCGGGGCATCCCCCGAGCCAATGGAAAGTTTTGAAAGATGAGAAAACTCATCCACTATATGCCTAGGTTTAGAGGTTCTCAAAACTTCCTAGTTTTCAGGGTATAAATGATGTTGTCGAGGGGCAAACAATTGTAACTTTTTAGCTAACATAGTCCCTATTTTGTTGCCATTCGCATAAAATTTCTGACGAGACCAGCGCAAATGGCGCTCAGCCTCATCATTTAGTCAAAGGTTCAGATCCATATGAAAACGATCCACCTTCCATCGAAGCTCAGCCGTTGGAGACCACTTAAACAGAACCGTAACCCGCTCAAGCTTACATTCCAAAGCCTGCCAATAGTGGTCTTGTTCCCTACGCCACCTGGAAGCCAATTGTATGATATGGCCTCTAATAACCACTTTATAAGCTTTCCAAAGAGTAACAGATGAGGGAACCGTACCCAAATTATTCTGAACGTAATCCAAGGAGTGGATCCGAACATCCTCAACTACAGAGGAAAAGGAGAGAAGGGAAACATTAAGATACCAGGTGGGAGCCCTCAGACACTGAGAGGGAACTGAACACTGCATAATGATAGGATCCTGGTCAGACCAAGGCACCATAGGAATATTAATCAAAAATAAATGTGGAAGTAAAGAAGGGGCCACAAAATCGTGATCAATACGAAAATGCCTAGAATGAGGATTAGAGAAAAAAGGTATAATCTCTAGAAGTGGGATGAAATTCCCGCCAGGCATCGACCAGATTATGGGACCTGAGAATATGCCCAAACTCCACGGAGAGAAGAGAAGAGGCTGTTGAGCCCACGGAAGATTTAGCTAAATTAGGATTGAGGACTAAATTAGAGTCGCCTGAAAGCATAAGATGGCCTTTCTGATGAGCCTGGAGAACCGACAAAAGATGCGTAAAAAAACAGGTTTGTCTCCGATTGGGCACATAATACGTGCAAGATCGTAACCTCCACATCTTGTCTAGTTCCAACAACTATCAAATAGTGACCCTGGGGATCTGCAACTACTTTGTGTTCCTGAAAAGGCAAAGAGTTATGAATCGCCAAAAGGACCCCCTGCTTTTTGACCGGGGCAAAGGCGAAAAAAGCCCGGGCATAACGATCAACTAAAAAGCGCGGGGCATAAGAAGAAGTCAGGTGAGTCTCCTGTAGGAAGGCTATATCGACTTTGGAGGAAGGAAGATATTTAAAAACTTTAGTTTGTTTCTGTGGTGAGCTCAAACCTTAGACATTAAGAGACAACCAAGTGAGAGTCATGACAAAACACAAAAATCACTCGACCATGGGGGTACCCCAAAAGCGTATCCACACCCCCAAGGCAAACAGAAAAAAAAAAAAAAAAGAAAGCAAGAAAAAAGGGTACCTCCAAGATGGAGGGAACCATAAAGGAAGAGAGAGAACTTTGTAGACAAATGGGAATACCGCAAAAAGAGAAACGGAAACACCCACAGAATGCAACAAAGAGCAAAAACGATGCACAACATGCATCTATTGGAACCCACGGAGCACGAAAAACCATACCCTACATCAGGGAACAAAAGAGGGTGGCATATAGCACCCCAGACACCTCCCCCTCGCTCATAGCAAACAATATATAGAACCCTCAAAGGAAGAGGAAGACAGCCACACATGAGGAAGAATGTTACATGAGGATAAAATAAAAGTGTACAACGACAAGCAAATTAAACAGATATAAAATCACATCAAACCAACCCAATTGAGAGCCTGGACCCACAATAGGGAGAAAGAAAAAAAAAAAAACCCACCAACCCACCATTCCCTCCTCCACCTCCCAAACACCTGAGGAAAATCAAAGGAGAAGGCCCACCTAGCTGGTAAACTTCCAAAAAGGAGCTGCTGGGATGGCAAAAGAGAAAAAACAAACCAACTGCAAAATGGACATTCAAGTCAGCCTGTCCCAACCGGTTGGAAAGTCTGAGAGTGAAGCTGGACCATTGTTTGGGATCTTCTTTCAGCTTATGGAATATAAGATTTTCTCGGACCGCAAAGTAATCTAGGCAGGTGTGTTGAAGAATTTATTGAGGAAGTCTGCGAGATAGTTGGGATCTAAAAGAGTAAGCTCTGACAGGCAGCATTAAGATCTAGCGGATTAAAGGCATTATATTGAGACCCCTTATACATAAAGGACAATCTGAAGGGAAACCCCCAGTGATAACGAATATTATTATACTGAAGGATATAGAGATCTCCTCTTCAAGATGGTAGTTTGAGAGAGGTCAGAATAAATCTGATAGGGGTGACTCTGGAACGAGAGGGCCTTCATTTCTCTAGCCATTCGCATCACCTGTTCCTTTGTTTTGTAATAATGAAATTTCAACATGATATCCCGAGGCGGGACTTCAGGTGGTCTGCGGCCTAAGGCCATATGTATCCTATCTATCTCCAAACGATCCACCGGAACATCAGGAATCAGCTCTTGCAATAGGGATGACACAGAGCCATGGAGATCTGCAATAGTCTCAGGTAGGCCCCTGATACGAACATTACCGCGACGAGCTCTATTTTCCGCCTCTTCCAGCTGATTCTTAAGAGAATGTATTTCCACTTGCAGATTTTCTATATCACCCTCATGGCCATCCAGGACTGTAGTAACATCATCCATTCTGTGTTCTAAAAGAGCAGCCCTCTCACTAACATTTCTAAGTTCCTTGAGTAAATCAGCTGATAATTTATGAGAGATTTCGCCAAGTTCTTCACAAACAATCCCACTTAATACTACCCAAAAGAACCAAATCTTGATCCGTACGGGGGCTGGCTGCAGGGCAGAGGGGAATTACAAAGAGCTGTCAACAGAATTCTCCGAGTCTCCTAATGAGTACTGCATGGTCTCATCTGCAGGGGGAGCCGGTGCCATCTTGTATGGGAGCCGGCGCTGTGGCTTAGGATCAGCCTGCTGCTTTGATTTGGTCAGATCCAGAGGGGACAGGGCCACAGATCACTCCCCCACACACTCCGACACCCGTGGAGACCAGCGGGGACATGATGGGCTCCTTCTAGTCAGAGAGAGAGGAGGTGAAGTGCCTGGGATGAGTGGAGCTAGCTCAGATTGCGGCCATCTTAGGCAGCCCCACGCATGTGCCTCCAGCACTGTATACTTTTATATACACTGCATTTCACGTTCCCAGTGTAACAAAATGGCTATCCATTTGTAAAACTACTCCGCACTGAATTTATTTTACAATTTTTCCAAAAATTTTAAATTTTTTCCAAACAAAAAAAAAAAAAACACAACAGGGAAAAACAAAAAAAGGTTTTCTCATGGCTTCAAAATTTCTGGAAATGTTACATTTCTACACACACCACCCGCACGAGTGTGAACCAGCCTAATCATGATTGGTAAGTTTTCTATACAATCTAAAAAACAAAATTGTGTGAACAAAAAGTATAGTACCTGGATCTGCCAAGCCTGTTGTTTCCAGTAGTATGTAGTCAAATTTTCCTTTCTTTTGCATCAGATTTTCAATTGCTTTTAAACCGTTGTCCCTGAATCAAAAGGAGTACACAGTTTATAGAAGGCAAGAAACACAAGATTCTCTACCAAATAAATACCGTATTTTCTGGCATATAAGGCAACTGGGTGTATAAGACGACCCCCTAAATTTTCCAGTTAAAACATAGGTTTTGGACTATACACATTGTAGAAGACTACCCCCCCATTTTCGAGGCAACACCATTTAACCCCTAGCCTACAGGGCACCTATACCCACTTCCCCCCCCCCCCAGGCCAATTTTCAGCTGTCAGCGCTGTCACACTTTGAATGACAATTGCGCGGTCATGCAGCACTGTACCCATATGAAATAGGTGGCACTGATGGGCACTGAGGAGGAGGCACTGGTAGGTGGCACTGATGGGCATTGACAGGCATCACTGATGGGCACTGAAAGGCAGCAATGATAGGCGGCAATGACTGGCACTGACAGGCGGCAATGACTGGCACTGATAGGCGGCACTGATTGGCAGCACTGATGGGCATTGACAGGCATCACTGATGGGCACTGAAAGGCAGCAATGATAGGCGGCACTGACTGGCACTAATAGGTGGCACTGATTGGCAGCACTGATAGGTGGCACTGATGGGTGACACTGAAAGGCAGCTCAGATGGGCACTGATATTGATGTGCACTGATGGACACTGACAGCTGGCACTGCTGGGGCTACACTGACCATCAGGGCACACTGATCATCAGTGCCCTGATGATCAGTGTACATGTCCCCTCCACGGAAAGCCGATTATCGGCTCTCCTCTCCTCTCGAGCTGTCAGCGTGACAGCTCGAGAGGAGAGAAATGCCGATAACCGGCATTTCCCTGTTTACATGTGATCAGCTGTGATTGGACACAGCTGATCACATGACCGAGCAGACATCTTCGGCTCTTTCCGTTATCAGTGATAGCTGTGTCCGAGAGACACAGCGCATCGCCGCACATGCGTGGAGAATGGGAGGACGTCATATGAGCCAATCACGGCAAGTGATGTATTCTATTAATGAATACAGAGCCTGCTCGGATTGGCTGTGTCAGAGAGGAGGGCTAATGATGTCACAACTTCAGCCAATCCGAGCAGGCTCTGTATTCATTAATAGAATAGATCGCTCGCTGTGATTGGGCTCAGCGCTGTACACTGTATGTAGCTGAAGCTACCATACAGTATTACCGCACATCCAGCATTCTATACCCGGCGTATAAGACGACCCCCAATTGTTGGGGTATGTTTTTAAGTAAAAAAAAAAAAAAAAAAAAAAGTCGTCTTATACGCCGGAAAATACGGTAATCATGTTCTGCAGCAGATGTGTTAAACATACAGTATATGAGCTTAAAGTACACTGCTCAAACTCTGGTCAGTTAAGTAGCAGAGGGAGTTGTTAATCAGTTTCAGCTGCTTTGGTGGTAATGAAATTAACAACAGGTGCACTACATGGGCAACAATGAGATGACTCCCAAAACAGGAATGGTTTTACAGGTGGAGGCCACTGACATTTTATTCCCTACTCATCTTTTCTGACTGTTTTTCACTAGTTTAGCATTTGGCTAGGGTCAGTGTCTCTACTGGCAATACCTGGACCCTACAGAAGTTGTACAGGCAGTCCAACTCCTCTAGGATGGCACATCAATATGTGCCATTGCCAGAAGGTTTGCAGTGTCTCCCAGCACAGTCTCAAGAGCATGGAAGAGATTCCAGGAGACAGGCAGTTATGCTAAGAGAGCTGGACAGGGCCGTAGAAGGTCCTTAATCCATCATCAGGACCGGTATCTGCTCCTTTGCGCAAGGAGGAACTGAGCACTGCCAAAGTCCTACAAAATCTAGCAGGCCACTGGTGTGAATGTCTCTGACCAAACAATCATAAACAGACTTCATGAGGGTGGCCTGAGGGCCTGACATCTTCTAGTGGGCCCTGTGCTCACTGCCCAGCACCATAGAGCTCGATTGGCATTTGCCATTGAACACCAGAATTGGCAGATCCACCACTGGCGCCCTGTGCTTTTCACAGATGAGAGCAGGTTCACCCTGAGCACATGTGACAGACGTGAAAGGGTCTAGAGAGGCCATGGAGAATGTTATGCCTGTAACATCATTCAGCATGACCTTTTGGTGGTGGGTCAGTGATGGTCTTGGGGGGCATATCCATGGAGGGATGCACAGACCTCTACATGCTAGAAAATGGCACCCTGACTGCAATTAGGTATCGAAATTAAATCCTTGGACCCATTGTCAGACCCTATATGCTGGTGCAGTGGGTCCTGAGTTCCTCCTGGTGCACGACAATGCCCAGCTGCATGTGGCAAGAGTCTGCAGGCAGTTCCTGGAGGATGAAGGAATTGATACCATTGAATGGCCCCCAAACTCCCCTGACCTAAATCCAATAGAACACCTCTGGGATATTATGTTTCGGTCCATTCGACGACGCCAGGTTGCACCTCAGACTGTCCAGGAGTTCAGTGATGCCCTGGTCCAGATCTGGGAGGAAATACCCCAGGACACCATCCAGGGTCTCATTAGGAGCATGCCCCAATGTTGTCAGGCATGCATACAAGAACATGGGGGCCATACAGAGTACCATTTTGAGAAACTGCAATCAAATTTCAGCAAAATGGACTAGCCTGCTGTATCATTTTTTTCACTTTGATTTTCAGGGTGTCTTTGAATTCAGTCCTCTGTAGGTTGATAATTTTCATTTCCACCAAACGATGGGGCATCCTTACGCTCCTAACACATTACCCAGTCCATATCAGTATAGATATGCATAATGATATTTTTTCCCATTGAGATCTGATGTGTTTTCAACGTGTTCCTTTGAGATTTTCCATATACACTGCTCAAAAAAAATTATTTACTTACTTTGGTCTGTTAAAAATATCATCAAAAGTATTTTAATATATCTATATCTGTTCGATAAATGCCAAAAAACAAATCTTGTTAATTACAGCAGGAATTTATAGCTGTCCCATGCACAATTTCTGTGTTATTTATAGCCCTCCTAGTTCTTATCTTGGGGCAATGGATTGTTTAGTGTAGAGTTGCAAGAGTAGAAGGGGATAAGTTGTGAATCTCCCCCCCCCCCCCCCCCCCCCCCCCCCCCCCCCCCCCCCCCCCACGCTGGAGAGATTCACTATATCTACTTGCCACTTGCCTGGGTCACAGTGAGGAAAAATCAAAAATTTTGAGTTGTCATTAGCACAGGACTAGAATGAAAATATTCCAAAGGGGAAAATTGTTCCAGTGACAACTGACTTAGGTGACATTGGCTCACTGGCATTTAGGGGGCTTTCCTCTCACTTCCCACGATGTTTATAGAACAGGAAGTTAAGGAAATGTCTCATCACTAACCAAAAAAAAAGTTTTGGCTTTAGGTATACTTTGAAGTACATTAACCCTGAGTAAAAATAACTCCATTTAGATGATCCAATTATTGATAGAATTATGTGCACCAAATAATGAAGTGAGAGCAAAGCTGACTCAATGGGGGAGGATTCAGTAAAGTTGCTGCACCACTTTTTTGGTCATTAATCCCTCTTATTATTTTAATGAGTCAAATTCATGAAGCATTTGCAACAATTTTGGATTTGATAGCGACTTGTGCACCTACCGTAATCCAGATAGTTCTACTGTAAATGCACCACTTTTACATTGTGTAGCAATGAATGCCTCAAATGTAAAAGTGAAGCTAATTAACATCAACTTTCTTTTGGTGTACAGAGAAAAACTGGCTCACACAGATTTTGCTAAAGCGTCTCCCGTGCAATCTAAAAATGGCACAGCATGAGCCAAACTCAGGTACTACACAGGTTCTACACAGGTAAAATTTGTCCCTTTCTTCACAATTACTAGAATGCATAAGAAACACTTTTGCAAACTCTGCCTGCTTTGGACTTTATGAATTCCAGTGTATATTTGTAAGTGGTACAATATAATTTTTAATGCTTTTGGAGTAGATATGTTTTAAGATAGCATCAGGGGTCAGAGATGGATTAGCCATTTTCTGTTAAAACAGACCTTGCGAAAAGGGAGTCCGAGAGGCCGATTCCCAGAAACTGGAATAAAAAGTGAAACAGTTGTTGACTCCAACCAAGCAGCTTTAACCCTTTTGTGGCAACCAACAAGGTGGAATAAAACCCACATTCAGCTTGCCAATTCGGTATGCCTTATGTTGACTACATTCACCCTTCTGCTATAAGCTCTCCCCTCCTCCACCACTGCCAAGACCTGTTGCCCTACTGACATGGATCCTCCCCACTAGGCACTGACAAAAAACAAAATTTGAGTCCCTTACACAGCCCAATACCACAACACCCCCCCAACACTTTCCTCCCCCCACCATCCGAAGCAGTGCAAGGGAGAAGCGCCAGCAATCAATGGAGAGTATGGAGTCATAGGCAAACTGCAGCACTCTGTGTCCCCTGCACTGCCCACCGTGTCCATTGTGCCCTCCAATCTCTGCAATGTATTCCTCCTGTCTGTTTCGCCGAAGACATGGGGCTGTTCAGAGAAACAGAGGGCTGACACCCAGTGGGGAAAATCATATGTTCAGGATGGTCAAGCAGAAGACTGGTAAAATTGGTAAATGTGAGTGTCATATTTACCAATCTTCTGTCTGTCCTGAATGAACACCAGGGTGATCAGTGTTGATGACAAGATAACATGAAAAAAAAAGGGCGCAAAGACCTGGTGCATTACCTTAACATAATTTATTAAAAATCAAACTTGCTAACTTGATTGTCAAAGCATATATCTATAGAATGCCTATAATATAATAGGGTAAGATAACGGTCCACCCTTTGAGATGCTGTTGCCTATCAAGTATATTTGATTGAGACTCATGCTGTACATTATACATTACACTAAGATTGGTGTAACATGTGGTGGCTCAGTTATATACATTGAGTTAGCATGTAAGTTAACTATATTTGACTGTTTGCAGTCCACTACGGTGCAGTCTGTTGTCAGTAGAGAAATGAACGGAATACACGAAGGGAGGCTCCTCCACTCTGTGGGAGGAGCAGCCAAGAAAGACACATGGCCTTAGAAATAGATCTATTTGTGATGAGCCAAGTGGGCAAACTACGCTCTGAGGAAGTGTGTCCTGTTACAATACATTGCAGTGCTTTTTTATATCGCATTTGTTTAATGATATGCACAGTTATGAGCACATTGTGATGAACGGTCACGTTCTGTAATGCACTACGATAAAATCAGGGCACTGCGGATCTGATATTACCACAACACATACATATGAAGCCAATCTCCATTTTTATGGCCTATGTGGCCTATATACAGTTTTGCATACCATCAATTTTCACCATTTTGCAATAAGGCACAATTTAATATTTGCAAATATTTGTTATTTATTAAAGCAATACAGTTTTATTTTTTAGATTTAGAGGGAAATTTGTAAGTTATGTTGTATTTGTGTGCATTACTAATAATCTTATTGTATTGTTATCAAAAACACTGGTTCAATAAATATATTATATATAAATATAAGTACCATCTTTTTATTTTACCAGCCCTTTAAAAATAATTATGGTGTGGGGGGGAAGGGGGGCTTTTACAAACTATGAAAGCTGTAAATGAACATTTTAAAAAGTGAAATATTGCAAAAATGGTCTGGCTACCTGAGGTTAAAAGTGGAGCATAGGGCCTAGCAGGAAAAGCGATAAAACCCTGGTGCCCAACCTACATCCTGGGGGTCACATGTGGCCCTTTGGTACTTTTTGTGTGGTCCTCTAGGACCCCACAGAGACAATCTTTGCTTCCCCTATTGCCTTGTTATAGTAGTGATTTCTAGCAACCTCATTGTGATATGTCTCCAGTCTATGATAGTCTCCAACAACTCCTATAGCATGTTCACAGTCTCCTGCGGCATGTCTGCAATCTCTGACCATCTCCTGTATCATGTATGTAATCTCTGATCATCTCTTGTAGTATGCCCAAAGTCTCTGACCAGTCTTTAACCATCTCCTGTACTATCTCCACAGTCTCTGACCATTTCTTGTATCATGTTGTGTGTTTGCTGTCCTTGATAATAAATATTTCAGTTAACTTTATGTGCAGCACATGGTGATGCTGGGGGCCTCACAGGAGACCTACCACATCAAGGAAGTTGACCACCACGGTGACAAACTTTCAATAATTCATGATATCCATTTGATATAAGCAAGTGATCCACCTTTACTACTGTTTTTGTAACTCAGTCCCAAATAAATCAAATTAAAACAACCGTAATGCTTTATGGGCCACTGCCAGATCATATTAGACATTATTATACCTGTTGGGAATTGCTATAACCCATAGGAATTCAATATAGCAGTTGCAACACTATGGCAGTTGTTTCCTTTAGAGTTGGCGTGTGGTGGTATTCCTGCACAGGGCTCTATACCCAGCCTCATTCAGCTGTCAGTCCTGTGATGTAAAGAAATGGACCAGGGACAGTAGTGATGTAATTACCTAAATACGTCAATGGCCATTATTAGGAAATTACTTGAGTCACTTGGTGGTCAAAATCTGATGGGGAACTGAGGGACTAGTTCCCCATGAGGACTGCTCTACATTTGACTGACAGCAAATGGTAGTGGCTGCATTCAAAAGTCACTATTGGACTGAATAGCAGCTATGGATGCCATGTGCAATCAACCACCAGCAAGGTGGACCTGATGGGGAACTATTCCTTTGCTTCTCCATCACATTGCACCCACAGCACTACAAAACTCCTCAGACATGCACCTATCGGTGTCCAGTATGAGAGAGAAAAAGGAGTGGAAACTCCACCCGCAGAGGTTTTAATGCAATGCCCCAACAGCCTTCTACAACACCCTTTATGACTTTCCCCTATTGCTTCCTTCTATATGCACACCTACCAATATCAAACCATACTTACTTTACAGAACAGCACAGGCAGCCATTTCTAAGCTCCAACCACTCCTCATACAGCTCGCCAGCTTGGCTGATGGCTAGGGACTTTTCTACAGCACTGCCTGTAACACATACAATATATATTCAACAGATGAAGTATAAGACAATAAAAAAAACAAGATTCAGACAAGGCTTTGCTTTTTGTAACTTTCAATGTCTTGTTGAAGGGTTTATGTTGCTGTTCCTAATCCTTTTGACACAATTTTCCCAAACATCTTCTTGTCTAAGGAACCACACAGATGGAGACAGCAATAACCCGATAAAGGTTTTTAAACATTCTTTACCCTACATAAAAGTGCTTTTATGGCTGGTTCCGTCTCCCTGTAAAATTATTTTGCTCAACTACATGACCACATATAATGCAAGTAAAAAGCAGTTGTTAAATCCCTTCTGTTATTTAAAAAATAAATAAATACAAAGATTTGGCTGGAGATGGCCTTAAGGTTAGATAAATCAATTCCCATCATAAAGCAATGGTGATTCCGCAAGTAAAAAATAAAAACCTATTTTCCACTAGCAGTTAATCAGAACATCTTTAATGTGTATAAAAAAAAAATGCTCACTGATAATAGCTACCTTGCTAGTTCTCTAAACATTGATCCATTGTTCCCTATTACCTTTATATTTTAGCTGTCTTAACTACTATAGTTCTATTATTATACAATTAACAGACGATCAATATTGCCTTGAGAATGAAAAGCTAAATGTAGGGCTCTGTGCAGTAATTACGTGTTCTTGCATGGCACTTACTGTTATCTCACATATATATTCTTCTTATTATAGCCAAATTTACCACCCTAACTCCTCCCACAGTTTTTACACTACATAGACAGTAATATACCGAAACGTGCGGATTGTTCCCGATTGGTGTGCTATTACTTTGTGGAACGTTTTGCAGAATGGTTCACGAAATATCAGCATTGTAGTGAAATTGGTGCCATAGGAATGAATGGCGGAATGTTCAAAACTAGAGTGGGAGCCGACAAAGCTAGAGTGTGAGCTGAAAAATCAGGACATGATTTCTAAACTGCCATTGCTCCCTCATTTACAAGCCCACCTACACAAATCTTATATCAAAACGTTCAGCTATCCCTGCTGCCACTAAAAATGTACTCTAAATGCTTCCCTCTTAGCAAGTGAAAAATGAGTGCCTTACTTTGCAGACAAGGTGCTACTTACCATACAGTCAAATATGTAAGATGCTAAAAGGAAATGTACAAATGGAGAAAAATTTAGGCCTCCCTGTTTATTCCCAGGCCATCATGCTTTAATCATTTCCGATTGATTTGCCTATAACATGTATGCAGATAAGGACTTCCTAGTTTATCCTGATTTTAACTGCTGTATAGTTTTTTAGGTCAGTGTCTAGAAAGCACTGTGGCCATGGGGTGAGCGTGAAAGCCAGGGATCCAGCATTTTTCAGAAGAAAGTTGTAAAAGCAACTCATGTATTTCCCACATCCCAGGTTTTCTTGAAGGTGGTGTCTTTGTTTTAGCAAGTGTCTCAATCATCGGGGTTTTAGTATGTACTAGCTTAATATCTGCTAATTACTCTAAATAACACACGGCATTGTGGCTTAAAGGGCTCATACAGTAGGATCTTTGGGCTAGACCAGGGGTGGGCAAACTTTTTGACTTGAGGGCCGCAATGGGTTCATATATTGGACCCGGGGGCCGGACCAAGAGTAGATGAATGTGTATGTGTCATCCATAGTAAGTATAGTAATATTCCCCCATAGTAAGCATAGTAATTAATCCCCCATAGTAATTTATCCCCCATATAGTAAGTCATCCCCCATAGCAAGTCATCCCCCATATAGTAAGTCATCCCCCATATAGTAAGTCATCCCCCATATAGTAAGTCATCCCCCATATAGTAATTCATCCCCCATATAGTAATTCATCCCCCATATAGTAATTCATCCCCCATAGTAATTCATCCCCCATAGTAATTCATCCCCCCTATAGCAATTCATTCCCCATATTAAGTCCCCAAGTCCCCCATAGTAATTAATTCCCCATATTAAGTCCCCAAGTCCCCCCTGTGTCAATTCACTTACCTTTGCTCCGCGCGTTCCTCTCGCCGTGTTCCCGCGCCGTTCCGGTGTAGCATGAAAATCTGTCTCCTATGAGGATCTGTCCCCCTCGACATATCTGCACATGTGCCAGTTTCAGGCATTAGCAGCCGATCGGTGATCTCCGCACATGCGCAGATACGTCGAGGGGGACAGATCCTCATAGGAGACAGATTTTCATGCTACACCGGTCTTCAGGGCGGACTGTGAGAGGAGCCTAGCTCCCCTCACGTTCATCACGCTGCCCCGCCTACACACATCCTGACAGCCATCCTGACAGTATCACGCTCCACGGGCTGGATTACAAGGTCCGCCGGGGCCGTATACGGCCCGCGGGCAGTAGTTTTCCCATTGCTGGGCTAGACACATGGGTGATTTTTGGTATACCAATAGTTTTCATAATCACATAGCGTGTAGTATGTAGTATACATTAATCAATATCACTAGGTTTCTGAAGACGCCCCATGGGAGGGGCGAAACACGTTGGATGGAGTTAACCAGTGACGTCACATCCGACCCGTGGAGCTCATGCTGTGGCAGAACTTCTGGATTCGGCGATACTCAGCTTTCTTGTACACATCCACAAAGTGAGTGTTATTCTATACATGTGCTTGTAAAATAAAATGGAGTTACACTATGGAGGGCCTCCTCGGTTTTTTTTTCATTTCTGAATGGTGAGAGACACACTTCATGAAGATTAATATAGAGCATAATACGCTGCATCTGGAGGAGAAGGAGTCAGGATCCCAAAGTGAGAGTGCCACATGTCTGCATAACCTGCATAGAAGCAGGTTATGCTTCTGCCCCCCCCCCCCCCCACTCCCCAAAGGTGCCAATCCTTAATAGGGAGCGGGGGAAAAAGCATTAAAGCGGAACTTCCCCTTTTGGGTGGAGCTCCGCTTTAATATCACCAAGCACAGTGGTTGAAAAGAGGTTTATGTAAGAAGGTGCAAGTTTAGTTAGCAATTATTCAGAATTCACCTTTCATTTTAAAGAGGTCAGAGCAACTAAAGATAACTGTTTTGTCATAGGTGTATTTTACCTGAGCTTATCTGTGAAAGTGAAACTTCAGCTTTGCTAAAACAAACTCAGTGCCAGCTATATGTATTGCAAGATCTTAAAGTGTTACTAAGGTCTAATTTTTTTTAAATTAAAATAACCATGTTATACTCAGCTGTTCTGTGCTGGGGTATTGCACAGAGCAAACGTGATCCTCCTCTCCTTGGGTCCCTGGCCGGTGATCTTGGCTGCTCTTCTTCGTGTATCCTCATAGCAAGCCATTTGTTATGGGGGGCACACGGTGTCTGCTCTCTCCCGAGTTGTGTGCCTATGGAGCTGTGCTCTATAGACACACACAGCAGGACCAAGCCCAGCCTCCTCTTCCTCCTCACTGCATTTGCTTGACAACAGCAGAAGCCAATGGCCACTGCTACTGTTCGAGTCCTGTGTAAAGAGGAAGAGAGGGGAGAAGCAATGCAGCTGTACACAGTGCTTGATCTCTTCCCCCTCACACAGGAAAGGGGGAGGACAGAGAAATATAAAATGTTTTTTACCTTAATGCAAGGAAAACCCTGTTAATTGTAGGGATGCCTATAATATGACCTTGAGCTTTATGTAAATGTCTGGGGAAAGCAGTGAGACCATCACAAGCAGAAATACAGGATATTTTGGAAGGCACATTGCCATGGTTGTAAAAAAACAAAACAAAAAAAAAACCTTTTTGGCAGATACAGAAAATAATAACATAATTCAGATTAAAATGGAAACATCATTTTATCAGTGTTTAATCTACAAGCGACTTGTGTAGTAATTAAGTCAATCTTAAATGATAGTGTAGTTTTCCATTAAATTGCAATAACAGGTAATAAGTCTAACCAGTCAGCTTCACTGGTTGTAAACAATGTGCTGTTCCACTTCCTCTCTCTACTCAGTGGATCGAGAAATACATTAGAACTTCAAAAGAAGGTTTAAATCCGATTGTTGGCTGTAAGAAATATCTCAGCTCTGACACTTTTTAAACCAGACTTTCTGTGTGTAGGGAAGCAAGAATGTATTTCCAATATGACTGTACATTTAGTTGAAGAAAAAAAACAGTTGCTATATTAAAGTAGCTCCACTAGATGTCAGAGCCTTACCATCAACAGTGTTTTCAAACTGCCACTGAAGACTCCAAACCAAAGCAACTTACGAATAACAGATATAGCTCATATCTCTATATCCATTTATTTAATTTACCAGCAAGAATTTACTATATTAAAAATAGCCTAGTTATAACAACCAACATATTTACCTTCACCAAATTCATTAACAATGACTGCAATTCTCTTATTGTGCTGTTCAGTCAGAATATAATTCAAAAGAGTTGTCTTTCCAGCACCTTGAAGATAAAAAAAAAAAAAAAAAAAAAGCATAGTTAAAATGAATAGCTGGTAAAAAGTACTGGAAGGTGGTGCTATACTTTTTCTTTCCTTTTAGCTCACTCACTTTAAGCTGAGCAGCTAATCTGGGAAAAATGCAGTTATTTACCTGTAACTATTTCCAGAAATCTTCCAGGACAGCTTCACATGAGAGATAGGCTCCTCCTACCAGGAATCACCTGATCCACTTTAATAAATAGCCTTTCTGATCCTAGGGTCCTCAGTACAGGAATATAACTGAATGTCTAGGATAAAAAACATACATATAACAGTAGGAACAACATATGTCTAGTCCATTGTATGACAGAACACCAGCTTATAATTATACATCAATCAGGAGGGAACTACGCTGTCCTGGGAGATTTCTGGAAATGCAGTTAGCAGGTAAATAACTACGTTTTCCCAAGTCATCTTCCAGCACAGCTTCACAAGAGAGGATTGAATAGGAATACATACAGTTGTGTTCAAAATAATAGCAGTCAGACATCATTAACCTGATCAACCACTGTTTTTAGTAGAAGTGATATTTTACATGGCAAATAATTTACTAGCAGGTGTAGTAAAGTAATAGAAATCCAACAGTCATGACATGCATGCTGCTGATTCTGTGTAATTGAATCACTAATTGAAAGGGGCATGTTCAAAATAATAGCAGTGTGGAGTTCTATTAGTGAGGTCATTCATTCTTTGAAAAACAGGTGGCAATTATTGCCCTTATTTAAGGAAGGAAGGCAGCAAATGTTGTACATGCTGGTTACAGTGCATTTCTCTCTGAAATTCTGAGGAAAATGGGTCGTTCCAGACATTGTTCAGAAGAACAGCGTACCTTGATTAAAAAGTTGATTGGAGAGAGGGAAAAACATATAAAGAAGTGCAGAAAATGATAGGCTGCTCAGTTAAAAATGATCGCAAATGCTTTAAAATGGCAACCAAAACCTGAAAGACGTGGAAGAAAGCGAAAAACTACCATTCGAATGGATAGAAGAATAGCCAAAATGGCAATGACTCAGCCAACAATCAGCTCCAGGAAGATCAAAGAAGGTGTAAAGTTACCTGTGAGTACTGTTACAATTAGAAGACGCCTATGTGAAGCCAAGCTATCTGCAAGAAGCCCCCGCAAAGTCCCACTGTTGAAAAAAAGGTGTGCTGAAGAGGTTACATTTGCCAAAGAGCACATTGACTGGCCTAAAGAGAAATGGCACAACATTTTGTGAACTGATGAAAGTGAGATTGTTCTTTTTGGGTCTAGTGGCCTGAGAAAGTTTGTCAGGCGACCCCCAAACACTGAATTCAAGCCACAGTACACTGTGAAGACAGTGTAGCATGGTTGTGCAAGCATCATGATATGGGGATGTTTCTCATACTACGGTGTTGGGCCTATTTATCGCATACCAGGGATCATGGATCAGTTTGAATACATCAGAATACTTGAAGAGGTCATGCTGCCTTATGCAGAAGAGGAAATGCCCTTGAAATGGGTGTTCCAACAAGACAACGACCTCAAAACACACCAGTAAACATGCAACATCTTGGTTCCAGACCAACAAGATTGACGTTATGGAGTGGCTAGCCCAATCCCCGGATCTTAATCCAATAGAAAACTTGTGGGGCGACATCAAAAATGCAGTTTCTGAGGTAAAACCAAGAAATAGAGAAGAACTGTGGAATGTAGTCCAATCATCCTGGGCTGGAATACCTGTTCACAGGTGCCAGAAGTTGGTTGACTCCATGCAACACAGATGTACAGCAGTTCTCAGAAACAGTGCTTATACAACTAAATATTAATTAAGTGATTCAAAAGGAAAGCAAAATCTTCAAACATTTTTCAGTTTATATAGTGAATGTTTGAGTTTGTAAAGAAGAATACAAACACTGCTATTTTTTTCAACAGTCTAATATTCACTTTTCTTCAATTTTTTTTTAGAGGAACAACACAAATTTGATATATTTTTCTTCATGTTTTGATTTGGAATAGAATGTGTAGTGTTCCCAATGTATTTGTATGTATGGAAATAAAAGCTATTAGAAGGATTTTGAGCTTTATTCACTTATATCAACACACTGATATTATTTTGAACACAACTGTACATTAGGATGGGACTGATGCTTGCAAGACCTTTCTGCTGAATGCCTGTGCCTTGTTGACGATCAGGTCTAAAAACGGTAGCGCCTGGCGAATGTGCTGAAGCTGGACCATGTTGCAACCTATTGATGCCATAAATACCCTGGGGAAAATATTTATTTTGCCATGTAGATTGTCTGCATGCAAACTTTTTGGAATTTTACAAATTTGTTCACTTTTTTTAGGTTGAGTATCTTTCTGTACTTCTCTGACGGCTTCCTCCTTAGGAAGAAATGGGAATAGAATCCCCTTTTTCCTTTCTTCTTCCCCCAACTGCCTGACCACATTCTGTTGGAGCATTTCTTCCAAAAGGTTCACAAGCACTTCTGCCTTTTCCTCCTTCCTTGGCTGTGAGGGGGAATTGCAAAAATCCTATCTCGTAGCCGTTCTGAATTATGTCTAGGATAAATGCATTCTGGGTAGTTTGTAGCCATTGGGTGTGGAAGTATCCCAGCTTTCCTTCAACCTGGCTCCGCCAGTCACTTGGATTGGGTTTATCCTGGTTGAGGTTGAAGAGAAACCTTCCTTTCTCCTTCCCTATTTTTGCGAACTGGCCTCTCTTCTGGCCTTGAAATTTAGCTTCTTTAGTTGAGTGCTGCCTGTTGGGACGAAAGTTTTTTTTTTTCGTTCCACTTGTCCATTGGAAACTGAAACCCCTTCTTTTTAATGGGGGATCTCGAGGACCGTAGTCAGCTCCGGGCCTGAAGAGGAGCTTTCCCTTGTAGGGCAGGCCGCACAGTCTAGATTTGAAAGCGATGTCCCCCTGCCAAGACATCAGCCAAATGGCTCTTCCAGCTGAGTTTATGAGTGCAGTTGATTTTGCTGTGTATTTAATGGTTTCAGCCGATGCATCCGTGATAAAGGCCACTGCCTTTTCCAAAACCAGAGGCGATTTGAGAATTTCATCTGCCGGCGTACCTTGTTCCAGGTGAGAATGGAGCTGGCCTAGCTGCAAGTCATCGTTATCACTGGTTTAAAGTTTACTGTGGACGCTTCCCACGCTTTCCTGAGGAATGTGACGGCTTTACGGGCCATCGGGTTCTTTAGGGAGCCCCCATCTTCAAATGATAAATCTGTGCTTCATGAAATTTTTGAAAGGGGAGCATCCAGTTTTGGGCAGGATTCCCATATTGATGCATCTTCCTCTTTAAATGGAAAAATCGCCTTTTAAGATTTTTTAGGGAAAAAAAAAAAAAAAAAAAAACCCTTTCCTTTCTGGCTCTTCCCATTCTCTTTTTTGGCAGATCATAGCGTGGAGTGCACTGGGAATGTGCAGCCACTTTTCTTTTGTAGCCCTGCATACAGTATAGCTGGTCATACAATGAGAGATCCGGTTGTTCTTCTTCCAGGTCTAGAGTGTCATAAATTACTTTTAAGAGTCCCTCTGTATCTTCTACCAGAAAAAGGAACCTTTGCGACTTGTGATCCGGTTCTTCCATTTCTCCTTCCTCTGAGTCTGAAGAGCCGGATAATTCCTCTTCCTCTTCTTAACCGGTAGGGAGACACCCGAGGTGCCAGTTTGAAGCTAGTCTGGGGCTGGCTCTTGCATTTGTTCTCTAAATTTTTTAAAGGTTTTGGACATTTCATTTGTCATGTTTTGTAGGAAGTCTTTAAAGAGGGACTCCGACTCTTTTCTAACCAGCTTGTCAATGCACTCCTGGCACAGTTGCTTTTTCCAAGAGCTAGAAAGTTTTTTCTTGCAACTAGCACATTTCTTTCAGGTCTCACGTGGAGTCTCCTTCTCCTTCCTTTCCTCCTCCTGTAAGCCCATCTAAGAATGGGGAGAAAAAGAATATAGGCCCCCTGTAAGCCAAGGGCTTCCCCTAAGAGGGAGTGCTACTCAAAAAATAGAAACCCTTGGGGTGTAAGAGAATGCAGACCCCCTTACAAAGTCACAGCATGGAGGAGAAGGTTTTGTATACGTAGCCATAAAGCTGTATAAAAAAAAAAAAAAAAAAAAAAAAAAAAAAAAGGGTCCTGCCATCCATCCGACTTCAACCTTGGTGCTGGCCTCCCCCATTTCCGATAGATCTGCCTCCATCCTGGCTGCCTTCCAGCCCTTGGTGGTGGTTCTGTTTGTAGGATGATGGGGCCCCGCCCCCTCCTAGGGTCCAATCGCGCTGACCTCTCTTCACAGCTGTAGTGGATCCAGCTGTGGCGTGGGGTGAGCCCATATCCAAGATGGCGGTGATCCTCTTCCTGTCTCTGGGCGCAAGAAGTGACGTTCACGTGTCCTGGCTCCCGAAACTGACGCTCCCATCGACGCCCAGACCTGACATCACCGCCAGGTGCCTCAGCCCAAAGATATCGGCGTCCTGCAACTGAGGAAGGTAGGTTTCTCACCCCATAGGATTGCGGCCCCTTGGCTCCTAGGTCGGCGTAGTAGGCTTCTCCTCCCCCTGGTGAGCCCAGCAGGACCGTTATGGGCGCAGAAAAAGGGGTGCTGTCTCCCCTAATTCAGCCCTATCCTCAGAACCAATGCCACAGGAACCCGGAATGCGACCACCCCACAAGACCCCTGCCTTGCTTGGTGGAGGGTAGCATTATTCAGAAGGCCTCTGTACCCCACCAGACAGCCTAGGTAAAAAAAAAAAAAAAAAAAAAAAAAAACGGGGGTTGTGTCAGTCCTGGCCGGAGGGAACACAAAAATACTGAGGTCCCCAGGGACGGAGAGGCTATTTATTAAAGTGTATCAGGTGTTTCCTGGTAGGAGGAGCCTATATCTCATGTGACGCTGTCCTGGAAGATGACTTGGGAAAAAATACAAGAAGGAAAGATATAACAATCACCATTTTTGCACTTCATCCTATATACACCGCAGTCGATGTTTAAACCAAGATAGTCACAATCAATACCTACACCATGCTTTAGGACATGATGGAATTATTAAGATAATTAACACTAGCTTAGTATTTAGGAACTTATACTGGATGGCTTAACTATACTGCTATATCATGTACTTTCACTAGAGGACAGTGCTGTGCCAGCAATATTTACATACAGTATAAGCCAAAAGGAAAAGTGTTGTTTTTACGTGGTAGTCTCTTTAAAAACGGAACTTCACTCAAAAAAGAAAGTTCTACTCCTCCACTGTTCCACCTCCACTCCCTCTCCTCCTTCAGATGGGGGAAGGAGGTGGAGGGTATCCGCTTTTGACAGGAAAGTGCCTCCCCACTTTCGGTCAGATCACAGCAGCGATCTGAGCAGACGTTCGGCCCCACTTCTCCCCTCTTAGCCTTCGGGGACATGTCACAGGTCCCGGAAAGCTGCAGGACAAATCAGATAGCGCAGCGTGGCTTGTGCATGTGCAGTGAGCAGCTGGCTGTGAAGCCACAAGCTGTCACAGCTGGCTGCTTACACAGTTAGTATTCCAGTGCCGGGAACCGAAGCCCAATGAAGAAACCAGCTGGCTGAGGACACCGCTGGATCCTGGGATAGACAATTGTCTAATTATTAAAAGACAGCGGCTACAGTTTTTGTAGCTGCTGACTATTAATTTTTTTAATACAGGACTGAAGAACTACCTGTACCCATATTAGGCAAGCATTTTCACCAGCGTTGGTAACATTACGAACGCATGCGGCAAATTCTGGTAGTTCTTACTACTGCTACTTTAAGAATCTATCGATATGGCAGCTACAAATTCTTGGGCCCTATTCACAAAGAGCGATTAGCTTGCATTCCCTGTGCAGGGCCGGTTTTTGTTACAGCTGCTGTGTCCCAATATGGCATGCGGGCATGTATCCCTGCATACACACAGGGTATGTTTGGGGACCCACACCATATTTCACATTGGAATCCAGCGACTGTGGCAATGCAGCTGTGTGTCCCAATAGACAACAATGGGACATCGGCATGGGGATGCACACAACACCTGCGCATCTCTGTGCTGGAGAAAGGTGGCCTTGCACGGGGAACACAAAGCTGATCGTCCCTGTGTGAATGGGGCCTTAAAGAATTACTGCCAGTAATCCATTTAGGAAACTGGCAGCAATTAAGACCAACTCTCATACTCAGAGTGGGCCCCGCCGATGCTGGGAAGCTGTCATATACCTGACAGTTTTCTGCACGGTCAGTCCCCTGCCTAATTTACCTAAATGCAAACAAGAGGGCTGGGGATACAGCTGATGTCATTACCCAAATATGGGCAATACCCATACTTAGGAAATCATTAGTCACTGGATGGACAGAGCCGGATACTCAGAACCTACTGAGAGACTAGTTCCCCAACAAGTCTGCTCCACTTCTGAGTGACCACATACATTTGAAACGAGTTAGTGGACTGAATAGCACCTAAGAATCTGCCCATTCAGTCAGTTTCTCCAACCGACTCTGCCCACCTATAGTATAAAACACCTTGGCCAAGCATCTGTCAGTGTGACGGGCACAGTGGTCAGGGAAGGAGGGAGGGAGGGTCTAGAGTGGATACTCCTTACCCAATGCAGACAAGGACAAATTCATATACCCCAGCGCAAGCCCCGACACAATTCTAAAGGGTGTCTATGACACCCTTTATGAATTTCCCTGAATGTATTCAGAATCACAATATACTTTCATTTCTTCTCAAAGGGTATTTGTTAAAGACAAAGCTGTTAGCCAGTATACAGTGGGGAAAATAATTATTTGATCCCCTGCAGATATTGTAAGCTTGCCCACTTACAAAGAAACAAAAAGGTCTATAATTTTTATCATAGAAGGTGAGGTTTGAATGGAAGAAAGATTCTGTGGACAGGTGTCTTTTATACACATAAGTTGTCATTAGGAGCACCTTCTTAAATTGACAGGACTAATCTGTGTACCACATGAGCACATAGCCAGTCTGTGGGAGCCAGAATTATTGTTGGTTGGTAGGGGATCAAATACTTATTTTACTTACTGAACTGCAAGTCAATTTATTACATTTGTATGATGTGTTTTTTGTGTGATTTTTGGTTGATATTCTGTCTCTATCATTTAAAATACACCTATGATAAAAATTATAGGCCCTTCAATTTCTTTGTAAGTGGGCAAGCTTACAAAATCTGCAGGGTATCAAATAATTATTCTCCCCACTGTAAGCCGCTAATCACACTTGAGCATGTTTTTAGGAGCAAAGATCCATACAGGAGCTTTTTTGGAGCAGGATTGCACATTTTTGGCCTCAGACTTTTATTATGGGAGCACCTGAAAAGTGCACATTTTTTGTGCACTCCTATTAAAGTCAATGGGGTAAAAAAAGTTCCATTCTGCTTAAAAAGAAAGCCGCAACACTACCAGAAGTGTTGATGCTTTACCCGAACAGAATATAAAAGGTTCAGTTAGAAAATTGAAAGAGGATTTCCATGCCAATATAAACTGCTTTGATTACTGCTGTTTAGACTGAACATGTTTATAAGAGCACATGAACATCTTCACTGGTGTGCTGCTGCTCCTTCAACACAGGATGGGTTCATCCTGAACTAGGCTGTGTTGCTACAATCTGGACACAGATCCAAGATCTGACTGTTCTCCATGGCAGGGACACCTAAATCAACTGACTAAAAAGAATTCCAAATAATTTGATAGGTAAATCAGTTCATATAGTTCAAACTCTGTATTTAGTAGTTCGCCTGAATGTCAGTATTAAATGGCCTTCAGGTGCAGAATTTAAATCAAAGTAAACGAAATTAGAAGAAACACACTATAAAAAAAATGATGTACATAAGCAAAGTTTGTTTATTATATTTAAATTCCAAATGCAGAAAATTTTAAAATCAAACCTGTCATCAGGCTATGGATATCCAAGTATTTATGTTTTAGTACACAGTAAATTAGCTTTAAAACAGGCCTCCACTGACCACTGTAGATGCAGGCACTGTGGAGAAAACCATCAATACTCACAGCAGAAGTACTGAAATCTGGTTCTAGTTATTTTTCTAAGCAGATTTAGTTCAGCTTTAGCCATGCTTTTCCAATATCTGCAGCTACAGAGGTCAATGAGGGCTTTACTGCTTGGTAAAACAGTATTAAACCCAAAACAAAAAATGTAATATATTGTAGCTTTCCAGTCATTAGATGTGGTGGCTGCATTGTTTTTATTTTTTAGGCTTTTTTCACCTGATAATCTGGCTATTAACACACCTCCTGTATTGGAGTGCCTACGCACTGGAAGAGGCACCTTTGGATGGCAGCATCCTCAGTCTTGGGGAAGGGGAGTGTTAGATTCACTAGCAGATTTAGACTAAAACCGAAGCTGAACTCCAGCTAACACTTTATAAGCAGTTACAGCAAGCTTTTTTCCTTTTGGGATAAAGGTTTTACATTAATAAAAGCTGATCATTGTAAGCACCCCTGTCAGAAGTAAATGGTTTTCGTCAACCCTGTAACTGCTAAATCTGCAGAACAGCTTGTTCTGTTGAAAAACAACATACGTACTGGCCAGATCACCAGAAGATGTGTGTGTGTATTTAGTTTTTGTGTTTCCCTATGCACACACTACACCCCCTGCCTCCCCCCCAGCGCCACTACCCTCTGCCACTACCGCCTGCCACCCCTAGGCAACACAGCAACAAGCCTCCTCCAAATCTCAGAATTGCTTTTCTTTTGCTTCTGTGATCTGACTTGCTGTGTGAGGGTGGCTACATTCATTCTCCATGGTCCCACTGTATGTAGGAACATAACTACTCTCTCTGGCTCATCCCAAGATTAACTAGGGCCTATGGAAGTAATAGGGAAAAGAAGGGGTTGAAGAGTTCACAGAAGACATGTGAAGGATGCAGAAAAACATAGTAAGAAACGATTTAATGAAAAGTGGATTACAGGGCTATTAGGTAGTGAATGCATATGGATTATTTTTGGAGAATAAGGACGTCATTTAGGGTCAATGCCCCTGCTGAGGAGTGTCACTTTTGCCATTTGTCCACGGTCAACGGGACAGAAAGCAATAGGAAATCCAAAATTTCATGTTTGCGAATGGAATAGTACTAGAGGGGACATCTGATCTGAGAGAAAACACCCTTGCACTTTTTTTTTGTGCTTACCCAAATAGCCTGTGATTATAGTGACTGGAATTTTAGACTGTGTCTGATCATCAGTAATGGGGACAAGCTCTGGGCAATCTTCATCTTCCTCCATTAAGACAAAAAGGTGTTACCACTGTAAATAAAAAAAAAAAAAAAAAGTAGGAGTGAGCAAGGGAATTATTTTAGCTGAAAATTATAGACAAATAATATTTTCTGTTAACACACAGTCTTGTATACAGTACATACGCTACATTGAATCTATCAAAACACTTGCAAATCTGTCAAGCCACTTTGTGAATTGGAGTGTCCATACAGACACTCCGTTCCTCAGTGCATGCGAACTACCTCCCTGCCAATGAAGTTATAACATCACAGCAGCCGAACAGTTTTGTAGCTAGGTGAACAAAGCTTAACGGGGATTCAGAGACCCCCGTTAACCATCAGGTCCACTTCTCCTATGACTGCCTGCTGTTGGCTATAGAATCCGCCCATTGCCTGCTGTCAGTCACAAGGAGAGAGTGGATCTGATGGAGAACTAATTTCTCAGCTTCCCCATCACTCACTGTTTTCTGTCAGTGTCAGTGGTTGCTGTGAAGCTGACAGCATTCTTGACAACCAAAGATAAATGTGGGGGATATGGGGTAATGGGGACAAATATGCTGCCCTGCTACACAGCATACAGAGACAGGCACTCTACCTGTCTCTGTATGCCAACTTAGAACTGGTCTAATTACCTCTAGTTTTGTTATCTACAAACTGGAGGTAATTATTTTTTGAATTTGGGGCAGTAATGGCAACCCTTTGTAAAAGAGCTACATGAATCTGTCACACGTATTGGTAAAGCTACTAAGATGGGCAGCAGTGATTTTTTTTAATCTGGCGCAGGCCATTTTCAGGGGCCATACCAACAGAAAAATGATCTTAGGGCTTTACTAAATTGCATTCTAAAGTGAAACCTTCAGATAAGACACAAATTCAGAACTGCAGCAGTAAATCCTTGCCCCACCAGAACCCCCAGTTCCTTCATTTCCCGGTGGTAAAGCCTAAGCACACCCCCACCCAAGCACCATCAACATACCACAATTAAATTTCTGGTTCTTGAGCAGCCCATCTGACCACCTGGGCATTGTCATGTGGGTGCTAAGAGCCAAGTCATGCCCATGCATATGCAGTTAACACTTTTAGTAGTCACTATTTGCTCAGCTGGTTTTAAAGCTCTGGGTGGTTTTGGACTACACTGATTTTGCAGCAATAGGTATGCACCAAGCACTCATAATTGTCCAATACCTGCTGCTGATAGTTTTGTTACTTATTGTGACTTATTTACAGATTCACATTTGACTTATGCTTTAACACTAAATTTTATCTGTAAGTGACACTGTAGGTAAAAATTGTATTTTCAAATGCTTGCCCTGAAATTTTTGGAGGCTATGAGATTGGATGACTCCTTTGAACTGCTACATAGAGAGAACTATACAGACAAGGTTTTTCCAGTTTTGTTTTAAATACGCTTTAATAATATAAAAAGATAAGGAAAAAGTCTTAAGTTGATGGAAGAAAATTAATATATTCTATCCAAAAGGTACCATTTTGATGGCTTTCAGAAATGCTGAGCAACAGTACCTATAGGTAAATCTGAACCCAGAAAATCCCCCCCCCCCCCCAGCTTTTGGACCCATAGGAAGAGGCAAAAAAAATTTTTTGCAGATAAAATAAAGCATAGCAGTTTGGGACAACAATGAGTAAATTGACAAGAGAAATTATGCAGAATGAACCCTTTAACAAGGAGGCTTGATAGGTTTCATGTCCTTGTGCTTATTACTGGAATTAAGGAAGGTCCATTGACAACATCGACCATTGTTCTCAACCTGGTTACATTTTCACAGACATCCTTGATGATACTGACAACCAGTACCCCTGTGAACACAATTTCAATCCTACAAGCAGTTTTCCAGCAGAAATACTGGCGAAGGCCACCTCTAACAAAGTGTAACTTTTAAGGAACATACCAAATCTAAGAATAGCAATCAGCAGTGTACTGAAATGTACAACTGGTAACATTACGAATATATTGAAGTAAGTTGAATGCTTAGGTTTAATAGAGACTGCTTACATACACTGAAAATCACATATAGAATAGGTCAAAAAAAAATCTGGCCCAGTATATGGTATCAATTTTTTTCTGGTCTGTATACCTGGTGGTAATGCAGGAGTTCAGATAATACAAAGCGATCTGTGATTGGGCAGGAGGAGGGGACGGGTGGGCACAGTGGCTACATACAACACTGCATCAGCAGTAGCTAAGACCATAAGGTCTTTAATTGTATAATAAAGAGATAAATTCATGAGCTGGCATGCATCTCATTAGACTCAACCCCCAGTAATCCAGCACATTGTAAAAACGGCTGAGTTCCTAGCTTTTAGCTCTAAGGAGGGCATCTTCCCACCGACAGCCAATAAATTGATTTTAGCTAAGACTTAAAAATTAATTTCAAGGGTTCTAAAGGTTGTGAAATACTGCTTCAAGGCTAAGTTCACTTTTTACTTAAAATTGACTATAGTCAGGTGCCCAAGTAGGCCGCTTTCAGCCACATTGCTTAGTGAAGTTTTCACACCTGTAGACTTTGTGGCACCTCTGAAGCCTTGCTGAAAAACTTTCATATTGTTTACATTCCCCATCTTGCCTTGTAGCTATAACAGAACATACATTGGACACTTGCCCTCAGCATGACAGAAATGAACACTCTCCCTGGATCAAAAGTTGCGCATGTACATTATGCCTTTTCCATTTCTGTCGCAGCCTCACTGATTTCAAGGTGGACAGCAGTAAGTAACCGATTAGAAGAGAAATATGTGGCTTCCATTGTCCACTTTTTATTTTTTTATTAAAATGCTAATTGATCTTCTGGCTTGAATACATTCACGGAGCTGAAACCAGTATGCGCATCAGAAGTTTTGACTTTACTTGCTGAATGCATGTTTTGGGTAAGTGAGTGAAAGTGCTAAAACTAGGAGGCAGCCAGCAATAAGAACCTCAACAATTTTCCAGTGACAACTCCCATCAAAACATTTAATTTGTTTTGGATACACCAAAGAAAGCTTATAGATCTTTTAGTGTTGTCCCTATTAGGGGGTTTCCCCTCACCTACTCTCAGGACAGGACTTTCTGTAAACCTTATATCAATTACCACTTTTGATGGATTGACCCTTGAAGTGAAAGGAGGGAGATTGGTTTAAATATTCACTCTGGCTCCTTCATCACAAACAAACCCTTTTTTGTATCTTCTAGCCTGTAGAGTATGAGGGCCATTTTTGGGTCTTGCCTGGATGTCCTTGGGTTATCAATTAGGGACAGGTTTCAGGTTGACAGCATGACTGCACACATTTCTATTTGTTGGTGGTACTTAAATCCTTGTAGAAAAAACCGGCACTAAAAATCAGTGCACTGTACACATTCTACAAAGCTTTACAGAGAACACTGAACTATCAGTTTTGTTACAGTTCTTAAAAAGCTAAAAATCTAACACATAGTTACAGACACTCTAGGGACAATTTAAGAGAAAGATAATTAATCTAATGGTGGCCATACACACTTTGATAAATTATCAATTTCTTTATCAATCTCTTCCGATAGAAATACTCTATCTATAGTCGACAACCTATTTGATCGATATAACACACACGGGGAAGTGGATTTCGATTGCCTTGCCATCTCATAATCTGATCAAATTCATGAACAGGGCATCTCAGTGCTGCCAATACATGCAGCATGTATGAACATTTTCCATCCCGGCCAATAAATTTAGTTTGATCAAATATAATCTAAATGAGGTCTAAATTGGATTCAGAAGGGAAGTTATGCCTATTTGATTGTTTGCCGATTTGTTTACATGGAATCGATCGTATCTCATCACATCGATTGAAAAAATAAAATTGAAGTGCATATAGCCATCATAACATCATTTGTTTTAATGCAGAGGGGAGGGCAGGAGAGGGAATTCCATCCAAATGGACTGCTTCTACTATGCCCCTGAAATGCTCAAAATACCTTAAAGAGGTTCTTCACCCTGTTTGCAAAAAAAATATGTAGCCTCCCTAGCAGTTTGATTAGGTCAGTATTTCTGTGCTCAAAGCGGTACATTTTATTGCATGGAAATATGTAGTTTTTTTATTGTAGGCCTGTAATTTTTAGGAATAACTCACTGAAATCTGTCCGAACAAGAGTCTAGTAAACATCCCGGGTATGTTAAAATTTGAAACACGAAATCATAAATTATAATATAATAATCTAATAAATTTAATTCAATAATATAATCAAACCAAAAACACTGAAATTTGAAATATAGCGCCAAGTTCGCACATAACTGAGCAAAGTCGCAAAATTGTTTTCAGTGTCTGATGATGAATTTCCCCACGAATCATTATCACTCAATTCTGCAAGTGGTTCTGATTTACTAATCGCTGTTCTCTAGATGGTCTAAAACCGCTTTTGACCTAAAAGGGACGATTTTTGGACCCCATGGACATTTCTCAGTTTCCAGGCAGAAAGAACAGTAAAAATGCAGGCAGAGCACAGGACAAAGCACTCAGGACAAAATGTATGTGAAATGGTTTGATACAGTAATGTTTTACTATGCGATTTTATTGAGTGAATGTCACTTTTTGACATTTTAAAATTTCCCGCTGTTCCGTTCCCCGTACGTCCTGACGTCGCAGGGAACGGAACCCGGAAGACAGATGCCGGCATCGGACGGAGCACATTGCCAGGGACACTGCAGGGAGGACATCGCGGGAGCGAAGGACATGGTAAGTGAAGAGATCCCAGAGCAACGCTGCAGGGTAATCCCGAGTGTAGCTCGGGTTTACCGTTTGTGGTGCTGAAACTTTACCCCAAGCTACATTCGGGAATACCTCCAGGGAGGTTAATAACTACTGTAGCTGCTGACTCACCCAAGCCTGTTCTTTGCCGGTCTTCGGGTCACCAGTGGCAGCATGTTACCTGTGGGAAGCCAACTCCCCACTGTCCCACTGTGCATGGGTGCAGCTTTCTGGAACCTATTATGTATCTTAGATGGTTGCGGGGGGATGGAAACGTCAGGAGGAATCACCTAG